ACAACTTTGAGTTGGTTAAGGCCTTCTGAATCGGGTTCTTTGTCACCAAAAACTTGCTTCACTTCTTCTCGCGCACGAGCCTGCCAGTCTTGGTGATGGCTTAAGAGAATCATTGTCCAAACAAGAAGTACTGAAGTAGTCTCTTGCCCGGAGAAATAGAATAACTTGCACTCCTCCATTACATCCTCAATGCTCATTCCATTTCCTTTACCTTGCCCCAAATTCGATTCAAGAAGTATTCCTAGCAAATCGTCGCACGGTGCTTCCCCAGCTTCTCTCGCCGTTAACCTTTTGCTAAGTATCCCTCTCAGTATATCTTGGATTTCTCTAGCTGCTGCTTTCATTCTTCTATTACCCTTCGTTGGGAGATAACTACGCAAACAAATGACACAACATGGTTCACATCTCCAATAGATTGCAGCATTAAAAGACCAAGAGTCAAGCCAGGCAAGTTTGAGGTTTTATTACCGATATCCAGGGATGAAAACTTTTCCTATAGCTTGTATGAGGAGCTGTGCTATTTCTGCTTGGAGCTCAAAAATCCTCTGCCCTTCTTTGTAGCTGCTGCCAAAAGCAGTACGAGAGATCACATCTGCAGTCATACTCACAAGACCAGGCCAAACATCCACCTCACGGGACGACCCTTTAGCCGAGACTATCTTGTCCCATTCGCCAACAACCTCGCTGCAGCTTTCGTGGAACGCAGGTACCATATTCTATAGAAGGAGAAGGCACGAAGTGGTTCAAAGCCAAATGAACATACATAGATAAAGCAAGCTAACCCGATTCGGGCCTATGAAAAGTAAAGCCTAAACCTTGATCTTCTCAAGATGGAAAGCTGGATTGATGATTCTACGGTGTTTTGCCCATTTATCACCATCATAACTGACGAGTCCAGTGGCTATCAATCTGCCCAAAGGAAATGTATCGGGCTTCTGGAAATCAGAAATTTTGTTGAACACTTCCTTGATTAGCTCAGGATCCATTATTGTGATGGTTGGTATAGGTCCAAGCCATGTAAAGAAAGTCCTTCCTGTTCCAACCACGTAGAGATACAAAAATTGAAACCTTTTTCTAGATCAGGTACCCTGTATATCTTTAAGCTGTAAAACAGAGCGGAGTCAAGAAACATACCGTGAGTCTTGAGCATTTGCAAGGGATAAGGCACGACTCGTGATGTAATATCATCGGTTAGTTCGATGGGTTTGGATCTTGCCTCCGTTAACATGTTGGAATTCCTTTTCACATCTCCAACAAGAAGCGTGTAAGGAGTTCCGGGAAGACCTTGTCTTCTTAAGTAACTCTCAAGCATCTTAGGTTTAAACCAAACCCACTTCAGAGTTCTCCATATCCACCACGACACAAGAAGTATAGCTACTGAAACTGTTACCGACGCAGCTGATATTTCCATTTTTTAAATTTTTTTCAGAGAAAAGAAAGAGATAAATAACTTGCTGACATGACATCCTCTGAAATATAGATAGAAGATACGGATGTGGTAATGGGGATGATATCACTCCTGATGTCATAAATTCTTTACGGTTTGCGTTTTGGACAATCATTTTTGTTGTGTCCGTTGATCTTCTACTTTACTTGGGAGCCACACAGTGACATGTCACCAAGGCACAAAAAGCAAATTTGGATTTGTGTGAAAAACCATAACTTGTGTAGGAGGAAATGCATGAAAAGTCAATCTTTTTGACATCACTGCATACTTGACCAAAAGCCATTACCTCCACATACCATTTGTAGCCAAATTGTGAATGAGAGTATGTGACTATATATTATTTACTTTTTTTTTTTTACTTTAAGATTATATGTAACCAGTTAGGACTTGGCCATTGATTTTTTAGTCCAACTATAGATTGAAATTTTTGTTTACAAAAAATTCATTACTTGTTTATGTTGAAATTTTTGTTTACAAAGAATTCATTACTTGTTTATGGTAAAGAAG